ATAAACGAGCACACGGTCTACCCGATGGTATGTGTGTGCCATGGCCTCTAGACTATCCTCGATTGAGAATCAGAATTCAGATGCTTTGTCCCCATTGGGACTAAAATGCAATGTCTCGGTGAAAGAAAAAGCGGTCTCCGGTTCTCTACACTCACCAAACGAAACAAAGCAGCATCATTCCGCTGTATCACGATGCTGCAAGCATTTATACTGCAGTCACATATAAAAAAAGATCGTTTTCGGATAGAATATTACAGCCTGAATCATTCCTGGTGTTACTCTCTATCTGTCGGTAAAGTTTCATCACTATCAGTTCAGCGATTCCAAAGATTATCCGGACATACAGATAGACGAACAGACATACAGGAAAACAATTTAAAGTTATTCATGTCTCAGCAATCTCGTTTATGACGACTGGATCAATGAGACAGTCAATCGAACAAGGGAGCAATTAACGTAACATCAACTATACAGGATCGTCTAAATTTTATAAAATTTTGTAACTTCATTATTTAAAAATGGGGTATTGTAACTTGGTTAATAAAAAAAAGGTTTTTAAGTCCGTTGGCGTTGTAGAGAATTATTCCCCTATATATATATATATATATATATATATATATATATATATATATATATATATATATATATATATATATATATATATATATATATATATATATATCGTGAAGATGTTTGCAAGAGGAGTTTGATGATTTGGATGGATTCCGTCATCAGATCTTGAACAAATGTAAGTGAAATCTATCCCTTGAGATCCCTTTCTCACAAAAAAGAGTCATTGAAATCGGACAAATAGTGTTGGTACAAATTTGTTATTTACTTTTAATGTTTTTATTCTGAATTCTTATAACTTTTGTACACTCCTTTCATGTTTAAAATTTTATTCATTGTTTTCAAGAGTTAAAATGTTTTTTTGTAAAATTGGGACAAGCAGTATTATACGAAACAGGTCGGGCTTTAGACTCGTGGCAACGACCGACTACCGCCATGATGAGTGCTCTCAACCGGCTACAGGGGTTGTGCGCGAATTGGCCTTTACCCTTCTCCGAGCTTTATATCATATTTTCTCGATTGTGCATTGACGCGGTCAGTTGTTGAATGAGCATAGAATATCAATTTTATTTATAGATGTGCAAGCAAACAAGCATGCGGCTCACCCGACGGAAAGTGTCAACCGCCGCCCACGAAAACTACAACACCAGGGGAATTTCAGGTGCGTTGCCGGCCTTTTAAAAAGGATACACGGAAAAATCGCACAAAGAAATCTGTTGAAAAAGCTTCTGGTAAATCGCTTTTTTTCATAAAATAAAGTTAAAAACAAGCACACAGTCTATGTGATGGTAAGTGGATACTGTGGCCCATGGATATTTCCATCGATCCTCGATTAAGAATCAAAATGCAGCGTTGTCACCCCTAAGGACTTAAATGGAAAATCCACTAAAAAGGGTCTCCCCTTCTCAAAACTTACCATACGAAACATATCATTAAGTTGCTATTTTACGCTGATATTATGTGAGAACATGGTCCTTCGCCGTTCAGGCCAACCCATACGTTCTACAACCATAATATACCTGCAGCGTGGCTCTAAGACGTTAAATATGTATAAGGCTGTGTGTGTGTGAGGATACTTAAAGTTGTTCAGCAAGACATGGCCTGCGAGGAACAATAGGCTGAAGTGGCAACATGCTGGCTAGTTAGCATGTAACAAACAAAGAATAGTTCTCAAGTAACAGCTTTGTACAAAGCTAAGCTAAGAAGTTGATGAATGCAACAGCTTCATGAATATGTTTAGTGGTGTTTCTTGGGGGAAGATTATATTCAGAAGTTGACTTTTATTTATGAAATGTATTAAAGTGTATGTACTTGCATAATAACATAATATGCATAATTATAATGGTGATTGACGTATACCAAAGATTTCTGACATATTTTTATTTTTCGAAATGTGTTTTCTTGAACATTATGATTCCTTGTTGTTCTGCAGGAAAGCATTTAAGTTATTTTGCAATATTAGTAAATTTTATTTTTAGATAAGTTTGAAAATGATCAGATAATCAGTGAAGACAATTTGTAAATATAAGTAATTATTTAATTCAATCAGTTTTTTTTAAAGAATAAGAGTGATACTCGTTTATCCGTCACACGGTCACACGAATAATTATTACAATTATTATACTATTTATTATATATTACAATTATTTAATTAAATGAGTTTTTTTAAAGAATAAGAGTGATACTCGTTTATCGATCACACGGTCCACCCGAATTAATTATTACAATTATTATACTATTTATTATATATTACAATTATTTAATTAAATGAGTTTTTTTTATAGAATAAGAGTGATACTCGTTTATCGGTCACACGGTCCATCCGAATTAATTATTACAATTATTATACTATTTATTATATATTACAATTATTTAATTAAATGAGTTTTTTATAGAATAAGAGTGATACTCGTTTATCGGTCACACGGTCCACCCGAATTAATTATTACAATTATTATACTATTTATTATATATTACAATTATTTAATTAAATGAGTTTTTTATAGAATAAGAGTGATACTCGTTTATCGGCCACACGGTCCACTCGAATTAATTATTACAATTATTATACTATTTATTATATATTACAATTATTTAATTAAATGAGTTTTTTTTATAGAATAAGAGTGATAAACGAGCACACGGTCCACCCGATGGTATGTGTATGCCATGGCCTCTAGACTATCCTCGATTGAGAATCAGAATTCAGAAGCTTTGTCCCCATTGCGACTAAAATGCAATGTCTCGGTAAAAGCAAAATAGATAAGTTTGAAAATGATCAGATAATCAGTGATGGATCGCCAAACATCTAGATGGTGTAGGTGGTATCAGAAATTTTGTCGTGTTGTGCGTTCGTGGAGGTTGGTGACTGGAATTAATGCGAACAATTCCTATAATGGTTAGCGCTCGTTCTAAAGTCACATTACGCGATCAACCCGAGTTTGATCTCCGCCGGCACCAATGAAATTGTTAATTGCAATTTTAAGTGCTGATTTACCACGTGTTAGGCGGTGAAAAAAAACATCGTGCGGAAACCTTCGTGTCTGAGAAATAAATTAAAAAATATTTACAAGACGTCTGAAGTTAGCCAACACGCATTGGGTAAGCGCGGTGGACACTTCCTTGCCCTAAAACCCTATCAGAAATGAGAGGAGGCCTGTGCTCAGCAGTAGGACGTCTATAGGCTGTAACTTTAAATTTAACTTGTAATTCCTCTGAGTTCTCTTTATGACAAATGCGATAGAAAAGGCAAAGGGATGCAACATATTATCGCAGCGCCAGTGAATCAAGCCGATCAGAAAGAACTCTGTCGTCGATGACTCGAGTCGCTCTTCGCTGAAGTTATATATTTCATGTAAGGCCGTATCTGCCCACGCCTTGTAAAGTTGCAAGCGGTGTGCCGGCATGAAATACTGTCCCCTTCTCTTCCAAGTGACCACGGAACTGAATTCGATATGTCAAAGTCAATAATTTTTGGTTCAGGCAATACGATAAGCGCGCACATAACATACCTAAGCCCGTCATAAACTAGTGTGTCAAAAATATTCGAGTAAAATTTCCTAATTCATATGTCCTTAATGTTGGTACTTATAAAAATCACTCTATTATTGAAGTTGTGTAATGTGTAGGTTGCGTAAGTATATTTTTTATTTCATCATGGTCTCACTTTGTCCGTTTGTTTATTTCTATGGGAATGAGAACAGAATAAACGTGTTGAATAGATCAAATAAACTTTGTTTTACCGAGTTCAAGGTAATCTGTGTACAAATAAAAATGGTATGTCTAGAGGTAAATTGCAAACTTTTAAATTATTCGGAAAATCTAAGCAAAAAATAATGTTGGGTACCTAGTAGGTATCTTCGTAAACTCTATTTGTATTTTTACTTTTTAGAATGATTTTGAGATAAATGTTAGATTTACTGAAAATTGTTCCTAAACTTTCACTTATATGTCGTAAACAATAAAGATTTAATTAATGACTTTAAATAGGAATCATCCAAAGAGTAAATGAAAACTTTAGGCCATTTATAATCTTCTACCTCGACGAGACGGCGCGGCGCTCTTTACGAACAGACTCATACAAGATTTAATAAACGACGACATCGACGAGTAAGTTTAGTAATATTTAATTAAAAATAAGTCATAAGGGAAAATTAAAAATAAGCGCGGGGGAATAAGGAGATTATGCAAAAAGCCAACATCACGCGGTGTTCCCAGGCGGTCACCCATCCAAGTACTGACCGCGCCCGACGTTGCTTAACTTCGGTGATCGGACGAGAACCGGTGTATTCAACGTGGTATGGACGTTGGCCAACGCAATACTGTAATTAGGAAACAGCACCTACCATCAAAAACATAAAGAAAGCTAAATTCAATATTATGATATAGGTATGCCTTGGTTGTTGACTTCAACGACAAAAGAAGTGAGATCTAAATGGGTGCCAAGTTCAATGGCCAGTCTTGAAATTTATTTATAACAAGATCAAATATCTGTTCTTCTTATAACTTAGGATAATTTATTGTAGCCTAAGGTCTGACTTAGATAGTTCTCATCTACGAATTGTTATGTTCGATGGCTAGTTTCTACCAGCAAGCCAAATTTTCGGAATAATTAAATAAGAACCGACAAGTAACGGGTTTAGAACTTGCGAAGGCCATAATATAATTCGAATATAAAAACTAGCCAAGTTAGACCTTTGGCTACAATATATTATCCAGTCACTGATAAAAATGACGATTTTTGGACGTTAATATCTAAATAACCGCTTGAGAGATTATATCATTTCAATCGTACGATTCACGTATGATTGGAGAACGTATTATTAGTCTGGTGGAAGTGAAAGGTAGTAAAAGGTAAACAGAAGATCAGGCGATACGACGACATCGATTCGAGCAGAGTAGAGTAGAGTAGATTAGAGTAGAGTAAGTACCTACATTCCGAGCGGTGCAGTGCGATGAACGTGCGGAAGAGCGTGCGGTGAGCGGCGACGGTGAAGCACTAGCGAGGAGCGAGGAGTGAGGTAGCAGCGCAGCGCCGCACCGAGCGAGGCCCGCAGGTGGACGGCGAGCAGCTCGCCCAGGTGCTGCGCCTGATCGAGAGCGGCAAGCGGCAGGGCGCGCGGCTGGTAGCGGGCGGCGAGCGCGCGGGCCACGTGGGCTACTTCGTGCAGCCGACCGTGTTCTGCGACGTGCGCGACCACATGCTCATCGCGCGCCGAGAGATCTTCGGCCCCGTGCGGTATAGTCATCCAGGCATCTACCTAGCTACCTACCTCTCTCTATCTTTCAATTATATTATTATAATACGTACATACAGTACATAGATATAATTACTAATTAGTAATTTTAGTAGTTAACTGTTGACTGATGAATGTTTACTGAATTTGAGCGTTTCTCTCTCGAACAGGGCCTGCGCGCCGGCACCGTTTGGGTGAACGACTACAACGATTTCAATAACCATGTGCCGTTCGGCGGCTACAAGCAGTCCGGCATCGACCGCGAGAACGGACTATTACACCGAGATGAAGAGCGTCACCGTAAAGATCACCGAGAAGAAATAGTAATTTCGCGTCGAACCCAGACCGTATATATGTATATGTAAGATATAATATTTAATTTATGAAAACTGTACCTACAATAATAAATATTATATTTTTTACTTAAAATTTTTCGTTCGTTGTTCGTTTTTCGGCACGTAACTACTAGGTACTACTCCTACCGCTTCTTACTACAAAATGTATGAAGTGTTTTTTCTTCGGCAATTATTACATTGAAAATTAATTGAATCGCGAGAAAACGATGGGAAATAAATAACAATAAAAAATAACATTTGGTTTATAACAGAAAAATAATACTTTTTAGGTTTTTATTTGCTAATCAAACATCAACGCCATCTACATTATATTATTGGCACACGTAGAATCTAACAAAGTTTTTGTAAAATTTCCGTTAGATGCCGCCACATTGGCACTTAAGCCTTAACTTAAGAAATATTAGAAGGTTAGTAGAAAATGATAGGATAGCATAGAAAACAATAAGATAAAAATGTAGAAAACATAGGTTTCAGTAGTACTTTACTACATCCCATCTTAGGTACATCGTTTCGATCGTTTCGTTGAAAATAAGAAAATGAATGTTATCGGTTATCGTATCCATTTCACTGTGAAAGGCTAAGACCGTAAGATGGTTCTTTTGCTAGAATCTAAGGGAATAAAGAATCGACGAGACGAGACTTCAGGTTGCTGAAATGTCTCTAGAAGCGTTTTTGTTGTCTCATCTTGTCATTAAGTGATCACATACGATGATGTGGTGTGGTAAGGTAGAGCCGCGTCGCAGTTGTATTGAGAATGCAACAAGAATTGGTTGGTGGTGGTTTTTATGAAATATTTTCTGTTTTTTAAATAATATTTTACTATAGCTTCCGTGTTATTACACTATGTGCATTGTTGATATATCTGTCTGTAAAAAACATCGCCATCTACGGTAAATGGCTGTGTTATTATCAAGTATGTTCGCTGTATCTCCACAGTAGTTCTATTGTATTTTTAAAGATAACGTTAGAAACTGTTACAATGTGTGAGATTGTGAGAATGATTAAAAATATCTAAATAATATGTTATGTTCCCAGTAGCAGTTATTATTCATTTTATTAATCATTCTAACTTACCATATGAAAGAAAGTAATGTTTTGCTTCTAATAAAAATATTGGTAGCCAATGAGAGTTTAGATTACTTCTACACTCCATAGTTTAGATCTTTCCTCTAAAAATCTTTAGGTGTTGTCTTAGGTGACATAGGTGTTGTGGCAAAGCTTCGAATTTGATAATGTTGCTATAAACGTACTAGGTAGGGTAGACCGTCCTAAAGCCGGCCAGTGCGTAAGGCCGGCCACCGTCACTAAAATCCCTCATAAACTATTTTGCACTATGCCAATAAGTATTATTTTTATTCTAAAATGACCCTTATTTATCAGCGAAATAATCAAACAAAAGAATCGACAATACGTTATTGCTTTCTCACTCATTCGCGGCCGGATATCCAGAGCGTGCGCTCGTTTTCGATTTTAGCAGAAATTGTTATCGAAACTCGCGTATTCCGCCTTTTGTGAGGTAAGTGTTTTTAAGAGTTTAAAGTGTATTTTGTGTGTTAGCTAATCATATTTTATTTATTTATTGTACTAAAAACGATATTGAAATGCTATTTTCCGTAATAATTCATTGCTTTGTGAAAAAATAGGGTGGCCGGGTTTAGGATTAAAAAAATACTGTAAAATATAAAGACGGCATAGGTGGCCGAAGTTAGGGCAGATTGTCGAAGTGGTCGATTCCTAAGCCCGGCCAATGCATTGTACAGAGTGTTCCTTTTTATTTTCAGATCGACAATGTCTGAAAGCGACGTAGAAAATAAAGGTAAACGTAAAAAAAATTTGCAGTATGATCGTACTAAAATAAAGAACGCACTAGAGGCTATCAAAAGCGGTACTAGCGTCAGAAGTGCTGCCAAAATTTATAATATCCCACGAACTACATTGCAAGACCGAATATATGGACGTGTCAACGAGGAAATCCTCCATGTAGGTAGAGAAACGGTATTAAATGAAAAAGAAGAACAAGTTTTGGTGGATTGGCTCATCCAATTAGCCAAGTGCGGATTTCCTCGGAAAAAAGCGATCTCATAAACACGGTTGAAAAAATTATAAACGAGGATGGTAGACCAAACCCATTTAAAAATTCAAGACCTGGAGACAAGTGGTACAAAGCATTTTTAAAAAGGCACCCAGATCTTAGTGAACGTACACCAGAGACTTTATTAGGAAGTGGTTCCGGGACCTACAAAGTTTTCTAAAAAAAATTGGAAGAGAGGAGATATTGTTTGACTCGAAAAGAATACTAAATGGCGATGAAACCAGTTTTAATATATACGCCAAAACTAATAGGACCAAAAGGCTGGAAAAATATATTTGACATAAAGAAAGTCGATTACGTTTTTTAGTATTCTCTGCTACAGGTGAAACAGTTAATCCTATTATTGTATTTCCCTAAGTTAAGAAACCACCAAAACAAATCGTCGATAGTGCCCCTGATGATTGGTTTATCGGGTTTTCTGACAGCGGTTGAATGAAGGGCGATATATTTTTTGAATATATAGCGAATGGCGTCAACCATTGGATCGAAAGGAATAACATTCAAAAGCCTGTTCTTCTCTTTGTGGACGGCCACAAATCTCACCTAACACTAGATTTGAGCAGATTTTGTGATAAAAACGAAATAATACTGTATGCTTTGCCACCGAACACCACGCACATCATGCAACCGGCGGACGTTAGCGTATTTAGGCCACTTAAACATCAGTGGAAGAAAACTGTTAAAGATTGGCAAGACAAGCAAGACAATTCTAACCGGCGCTAAATAAAACCACATTTTGTCCCTTATTAAAAATGGTCTTGCAACAGGATTTAACCAATACTATTAAGAATGGATTCCGAAAGTGTGGTCTATATCATTTCAACCAAGAAGCCGTGGATTATACAAAATGCGTAAAAAATACGCAAGGATCAACACTTGAACATATTCCAACAGTAAATACAGAAATAACAACTGTGGAAGTCGAAAGTACGATCAAAGTAGTAAACTATTACAGAAAGGATTTGGAAAAGGAAGGAGTAAATGTTGATGTAATTGCGAAAATTTTGAGAAAAGACGAAGAACTGCAGGAAAATATAACTAAGAAACAGGAAAACATAAAGTCGCAAAATTGTGAAAATACCGTGATTCCCATTTCTTCCATAACTAAAGAAACCGAAGTTGTACGTCAAGACCAAGAAGAAATAGAATTCTATATTTTAGAAGATAATTGCCTTTTGGAACCATGTTCAAAAAACTAACCAGCGGCGTCTCCTTCAATGCTCAAGGAAATACCGCTATCTGTACCTACAACTTTTTCAACTCAAGAATTAGCTGAAAGTTTACAACCCCCAAAAATAGAAGTTGCTGTTGAAATTCATCCTTGTCCAAATAACATTAAACCAACCGAACTAAACGAGAGTACATCGCGTATCTGCCCAATTCCGAATCAGGATGACTTCAACATGATTACTTGTGAAAGTAAAGATTATTTTTTGCCTATTAACGAGTCTGTAGTGAACCGACTGGACATTGTTTCTGATTTTGACTTTTCTTTGCCAGCGTCTCCTTCCAACAGTATTACTTCAGAAACGTGCGTAAATTCACTGTCATCATGCACAACAACACCAAAATCACATAAAAGATCATTAATGCCAATTTCTCCAGCATTCAAAAATCATCTCTTTGCACCTAAATCCTTAAAATTTGACAAAAAAAGAAAAACAAGAGAACCCATGCCATTAGCAATATCATCTAAAAAATGGAGACAGTACATGGAAGAAAAGGATAAAGAAAAGGAAAACATACTAAAAAAGCGCGAGGAAAGAAAAAGACTCATGACAAACAAAAAAGAAGAACAGGCAAAGCGAAGGTTGGAAATATCTAAGAGGAAGCAATGCAATAAAAGAAAAGAAGCAGCGACTAGAAAAATGACAACTAAGAAAAGCGCTGCTAATTCAGAATCGAATATAAAAATGAAGGAAAATAGATTACCAACCATTTATTGTGCGGGATGTAATGACGAGTTAATAAGTGACGTTGAAGATGACTCTTTAAAAAACATTGGTTGTGACAATTGTCCGAAGTGGTTCCACTTAAAATGTACAACAAAGAAAAATTTCAAATATGACGAAGTCGCTAAGGAAGATTTTGTTTGCCATTATTGTTTAATTCATATGATTTAAAAATTATTATCAAAGTTAGTAAACTTTTCTGTGATTTATTGTTTCCAAATTTGGTATTTTTTAAGTATTAGTTCAATCATAAGTGGAATGTTCATAATTAAGCACGTGAAAGCAAGTTTTTATAGTATTTTCCAGTTCATTTGATTAATTTTTAGAATAGATTTATTAGTAAATATATTTTTTTATTAATGTAGGTTGTCTAATATGTGAAAGTTTTCTTTGATGAATAAGATTGTTGATTGTTATTGTTGTCTTGAGACTGATTATAGTAAAGTTATAATTCAGAGTTCCAAATTGTTTTAAGAGTATTTTCTTTATTGATTAGTTGATTTGAGATTTGTTTTATAAGATTGTTGGAAAAATTGTTGGGTTTTATATAAGTTAATTAATATCATATTATGTTGTGATTAGATCTTTGAAGAAACTGATTATATTTCTGTTATATTTGAGTTATGGTCTGTTTTATTTTGTTGATTTGTTAGTAGGATAAATAATAAAATATAACCTAGTGTAAATATGCAAAAAATGTGCATTTATATGTTCAATTTATTTAATCCATCAGACTGATTAATATTTAAATGTTTTGATGAATAAGATTGTTGATTATTATTGTTGTTTTGAGATTGATTAATAGCTATAATTATAGAGTTCCAAAAAAGGTTTCAGATTACTTCAGTTTTTTGGTTGATTAGTCGATTTGAGATTTGTTTTATAAGATTTTTGTGGGTTATAATTGATATCATATTATGTTGTATTAGTTCTTTGAAGAAACTGCTTATATATGTTAAATTCTGATCTACAGTCTTTTTTAAGTTCTGTTTTATTGTGTTGATTTGTTAGTGGAATAAATAATAGAAGTAACATATTGTAAATATGCAAAAAATGTGCTTTGATTTGTTCAATTTATTTAATCCATCAGAGTAATTATTATTAAAATTCTGATTTTACCGTGTCTACGGTTTTTATACATCAAATCAATAAAGATCTTTGATTTGCATTTTACTTAATTATTTATTTATATATTTTATATAAAAATTTTTTAAAACATCCTTTAAAATCTGTAAAATTTAATGTATGCCGACTTTAGGCAGAATTTCGGACGACAATAGGTCACAGGTGGGCGACCTTAAGGAAAAAGGGTCGCTGCTTGATTAAATCTAAATATTATATTAATAGAGTTGATCTTTCTTGTTTTTTAATGAAAATAGTAAAATTCATAATGCACAATTGCGAAAAAGTGCTTTTATCAAAAGCAAATTTAATCTCTGTTAGCAAGATAGAAAATAGAAAAAACAGCTTGGTGGCCGACTTTAGGGTGGTTTACCCTACCTACTTAAACGATGTGGGTGTCTTCAAAGCAAGAGTGAATAATCTACTGTGCTATTATCCAACTTCGGTTATATCACCACTTACTATCAGGTGGAGTAGTAGTCAAACACTAGCTTAAATCGGCAAAAACAGTTTCGTTATTGATTTTCCACAAAATACTAAAACTATAAACGCTTTAATTATTTTCAGTTTTTATATGTATATATATGCAAAACTTGCTCTGAAGATTTTCATAAGATAAGGAAGAAGGATATCAATACTCCTCTATAGTTGAATGGCTACTATTTCACCCTTCTCGCTTGTCTTATATGGCCTAAAGGAGTCAACAGCCTACTGCACCAAGTTTGGCCTTATAATCTTTGCAGGCCTACACCAGTCCTCATTACAAGGCCTTCGTAGGGCTCTGAAAGTGTTTAATGCAAAAGATTTATGTGACCCTGGGAAGTAGTTTGGCGATCCAATGTTTATCTTTCGATAGCATTTTGTGTAGTCTTGCACTGCGAGGCAGACTCAACTTCCTCGCATAGCTTCCTCCACGATTTTCTCTTGGCTTTCTAACTTTATATAAATATGTATATAAAGTTTACGTCCTACTGTTAGTTCACAACTTCCCAAGACCTAGTGTGACTTGTAAACCAACTTAGACTAGTAATATCGCCTCACTACGCTGGGACGCAGGCCCTAGTTGTTCCCGACTAAGCGACTGCAAGTACCTATTTTTGTCTAATAGCATACGTTGCTAAGGTGAAAGTTACACGTTAGTTTTTGGTCGATTTTTACGCCCAAGTTCTTAACTTCAGGGGAGAATAAAAAACTATTTTACCAATGAGTTTTGGTGTGACTAATTTATTCAACCATCTGTTTTTGGTAAAGAGTATTATAACAGTTTTATCAGCATTAACTGGTGAAATGTGCTCCCTACACCAGTTATTTATGGTGCTTAGGGCTCTTTGTATGATTAATGATAAAGTACTTTGGCAAAAGCCCCTCGCAATAACCACAAGGTCATCAGCATAATCTAGTGTGTCAATGCAAAGGTCGGCCATCTTGTACAATAGTTGTTCAACCGCAAGAGTCCAAAGAAGGTGTGACAATACACCTCCTCGTGGACAGCCTCTTGTAGTTGCAACCTACAACTACAAGAGGATATATATTTATAACATGAGGAATAGATGTTTATAACAGCGCTATCTTTGCCTTTCTGTTTGAAAGCATCGACTTCACTCACCTGATGGTTGTGGGGTCAACGTTTTGGGTGTCAGACCCCCAATCAGCAGTGATGTGGGGCTACTGTCGAAGGCGCCCTCAATATCCAGAAAGGCACAAAGAGCTATTTCTTTATCCTTCAGTGCTTTTAAGACCCTGTCAATAACACTGGTCAGGGCTGTTTCCTTAGATTTGCCTCTAGTGTTGTATGCTGGTTGTAATGTATGGGCCTCGAAGCTAGAGCTACATCCCTTATGTATCTATCTATAAGCTTGTCCAATGTCTTAAGAAGAAAGGAAGTTAGGCTTATAGGTCTAAAGGACTTTAGTAAAGCGTAGTCCCTCCTACCAGCCTTGGGAATAAATAAAACTTTGACTATCCACTTTCGGAATTCTGTTGTTTTTTCAGTGTTCTGTAGTTGGACAGGAATTATTCCATCCTCACCGCTTGTCTTATATCGTTTAAAGGAGTCAATAGCTCACTGCACCAGGTTTGGCCTTATTATCTTTGCAGCCCTACACCAGTCCTCAGGTCGGTCAAGTCAGGCCTTCGTAGGCTCTGAAAGAGTTCCAAGCAAATATCTTATAAGTATAACCCTGGGAAGTGCGTTGATGCTAGTTACTCTAACGTTTCTGTTTCACTACTAGTGAAGTTACCATCAAGTTTTTAAGAAGGCCGAGCTGATTAGGTTTAGCTTTCGATAGTGTTTTGTGTAGTCTTGCACTGCTAGGCAAAGATTCAACTTCCTCGCATAGCTTCTTCCACTATGTTCTCTTGGCTTTCCTAAATTCTTTATTATATTCGGTTAGGGCTCAACTGTATATATCCCACTCTTTGGTTTTTTAAGCCCTATTCAATAGTTTCCTTGTTTTTTCGTAAGCTCCTTTAACTTAGTGTTCCACCAAGGTACTTGAGGTCATGGTTTCATGTCGAGGTCATGTTGAGGTCTTGGTTTTGATGGAAAATCTGTCCTCGAAGGCTTCACGGATACTTATGGTTACCGTTTCCGTCGCTAAGTTCAGACCTTCAATCGTTTTGATGTTCTTAGGAAACGTTACTAAATTCCTCCTTAGGCTATTTCTCTATCCCAGGGGGTCGCTTTTGGATCCCTAAAAGCAACGTTTTCATATGTTGGTGATGCTCCAATCACAAACTTAATGTGTTTGTGATCAGACACCGAGTTTTCACTACTAAAATGCCAGTAATTTATCCTCCTGGACATGTTATTGGTAGCAAAGGTTATGTCTAACACTTCTTGCCTAGCACTCCAAAGCTCAGCGACCTGCGCGACCTTAAGGTACTTATAAGTTGGATTTGCATATTTCCGTCGCCTGCCGAGAAATTTTAAGTTATCTGCAGTATTTTTGCATTGAGTAGGAGCCTAAATACAAGACAATTTGTAAATATTAGTAATTATTTAATTAAATGCGTTTGTTTTTATAGAATAAGAGTGATAAACGAGCACACGGTCCACCCGATGGTATGTGTATGCCATGGCCTCTAGACTATCCTCGATTGAGAATCAGAATTCAGAAGCTTTGTCCCCATTGGGACTAAAATGCAATGTCTCGGTAAAAGAAAAAGAGGTCTCCGGTTCTCTACACTCACCAAACGAAACAAAGCAGCATCATTCCGCTGTATCACGACGCTGCAAGCATTTATACTGCAGTCACATATAAAAAAGATCGTTTTCGGATAGAATATTACAGCCTGAATCATTCCTGGTGTTACTCTCTATCTGTCGGTAAAGTTTCATCACTATCAGTTCAGCGATTCCAAAGATTATCCGGACATACAGATAGACGAACAGACATACAGGAAAACACACACATATATATATATATATATATATATATTAGTTTCGATAACTCCATTTTTAATTATTTGATTAACGCCATCTATGGAGCCCTTCAAAAGTATGTTTTGTTAAACATGTTTATAAAACCACATCGTATAGAAGCATAACATTACTTTCTTTCATATGGTGAGTTAGAATGATTAATAAAATGATTAATAACTGCTACTGGGAATATAACATATAATTTAGAATTTTTAATCATTCTCACATATTGTAACAGTTTCTAACGTTATCTTTAAAATACAATAGAACTACTATGGAGATACAGCACACACATTGATATAACACAGCCATTTACCGTAGATGGCGCTGTTTTTACAGACAGATATATCAACAATGCACATAATGTAATAACACGGAAGCTATAGTAAAATATTATTTAAAAAACAGAAAATATTTCATAAAAACAGGTACAAAATTTGAAACGCAAATCTAGTTCGCGAAGCATTCAAATAATTTTAAAACTAGGCTATATTAGCGCCCTCTATGGATGAAGTTTATTACTAGTGCGATTACAATACGATGTGGTTTTATAAACAGGTTTAACAAAACATACTTTTGAGGGCTCCATAGATGGCGTTGATCAAATAATTAAAAATTAAAAATG